GGTACATTTTATTAGTAGCTGTATTCATGTAGTTTTTCGGCACTATAATAGTGTGTTAAGTGTACACGTAATAGTATACTCCATTATTTATAGTCCCCTTCTGAATTTCGTGAAATCCTTCAGTGTACACGTGTTTGTAAATTACCCTTGGTACAATTTCATCTTCCAGAATCCCGAGAAATCCGTTATTGTTACGAGGGACGTTCAATAAGTAATGCCCCTGACCCACTTTCAGTTGTCTGATTTAGATGAAAATTTGCATGTGTAATGATGTACATCTCTATGGGTTATGTTGCAATAAACAGCACCGAACTAATTGTGGTTCCTGATTTACAGGTGTTTGAACTGAGTCTGGCGTGAAATGGAGCCAGTTGAGTGTCGCGCAGTGATCCGTTTTTTGTATTTGAAAGGACGCATACCAAATGAGACTTTTGATGAAATGAACAAAAAATATGTGATGATGCCCCATCATATGACCCTGTAAAACGCTGGCATCGTGAATTCAAACATGGCGGAAGTCTGTGGAAACAGCTCCCAGACCTGGTTGTCCCTCTTCTGCCATTGATGAGGCATCAAACATGGTCCGTCAAGTTGAGGCAGCCATTTTGGAAGATCGATGCATTACTGTTTGCCAAATAGCCCAAGAGGTCAAGATCAGTACAGGCTCTGGGGAAACTATCATTCATGACCATTTGCATATGCATACGGTGTCGGCAAGATGGATTCTCAGTTGCTCACACCTTTCCAGAAGCAAGAACGCGTCGAGTGCTCGATCATGAATTTGCCAAGAAGATGAGTCAAAGTTTTTCAAAAGACTGATTACACATGATGAAACTTGGGTTCATTACTATGATCCAAAGACCAAATCCCAGGACGGAGTAGTGATGACGGATTTCCTGGCAAAGGATACCACAATTACAGGAGCCTGTTACGCTTCACTTTTGATGAAATTAAGAGAAGCTATCAAAATCAAGAGGCGGGGCAAGATCAGCTAAAGGTATCCTCTTCCTACAGGACCACGCTCTGGTCCACAACTCGCATGTCGCCAGATCAGAATCACGGGCCTGTGGCTATGCACCCCCCCCATCTCCCTTACTCTCCTGGCCTTGCACCCTCTGACATTCATCTCTTCCTGACCATGAAGTTGTTTTTAAAAGAAGAGCGTTTCCCAGATGATGCAGCCTTGATTTCTGAAGTTACGACGTGGTTGGAGGACCAACCTGGGGTGTTCTACAAAAACGGTGTCCAGAGCTGCATCAAACGATGGAAGAAATGCATATCTCTGGGTGGTTCTTATGTAGAAAAAAAACTAATAACTGTGCCAAGTTTCATTAATCTCGTTCTATGCCTGGGTCAGGGGCATTACATATTGAACGACCGTCGTAGGTGTACTCTTGTTAGTATATTCACATTTTGATTGCGCCATTCCGTGGTATCCTACTGTGTGCACGTGTTAGTATTGGCTTTGCATTATCTATGAATGTGATCCTTCAAAATTCAGTATATGAATAATGGATTGCAGTGACGTGGCTTTATTCAAATGGAACAAGCTTGGGACTTCCCTTCGAACAGTAAAGACGATTGAAATCAGACAGTTGATATGATACGTTGTCCAACCACGCCCGAGGTGGATCGTGCTTAGAACACTTGGCATTTTATTGGCAATCGTTTTGTTTACCCCAATTCTTTCAAGGTATAGATGCAGTTTGTGGACAGCTCTGAAAATATCCTTACGTTCACATTGGTAACATTTCGAAGTTCTACCACAAGTAGGTCATACTAAAAAACGCCTAAATTAATGTGAAACGTTCAAAAAGACATTTTTCTTACCTAAAAAGTAATGCCTGAATGTTCATATAATTAATTATTAACAATATTTTACAAAACAGTTATCGGTATGTTCATGCAAGTGTTATAACACTTTCGGCATCATTGGCCGAAAACAAAACAAAATTTAAACAAATATGGACACAAATGCCTTGAGAAACACATAATTGCAACTCCAACAGGCTTAAAACTCTGGCAGATAAATCTCTCCCCAACTGAAGAACCACAACGTAGACAATGTCCATTTAAAAAACACATAAACAGTCATTACACGTGTTCAGTTACAATCTGTAGTGACAGCTATCTATAGAAAAAAGCTAAATTATAATTTTAGGGCTCCGAGCGCCTACAACCCTACATCCATATATAAAAAGAATTACATTGCATTATGAATGAAGTCTTCTGGTTGACCTAAGAATATTTATCTTCTTTATCCTCTTTGGCCTGTCAAGTTTGATTTACATTTAGATTTGAATTTACAATCTGTGGTGAGCGAGATAGAAAATAATTGGAATTGAAAACGTGATTACTTAGATGATAATTACAAGTCCTAACCACAGAAATGCTCGCTTCGTGGTTAGTGTGGTTAGGAATGGCATACTATACACAGGACCGTAACAACGCAATGTGAAAAATGATACGTAAGAAGCGGTTATTTTCACTTTATATTGTTGTATATAGGCTGTAAATTGTTCTCACGTTTCACATTTCGGACAAGTTAATAATTTGACGAGGGCAGGGTTCGAACTAACCCTCTGACATGGAAGTGTATTGCTTTAATAAGTCTTTATTGTAAATATGGCTAATTGGGCAGAAACACGTCCGTAAGATACTTTCGTCAGTAGCCCGTAATAGGTTTTGAAATATTATTAAGCGCCGTATAATGCAAAGTCCACGGTTTTACAAGTAAATAAAATAATATTGCTATAGTATTAATAGTGCGGCGAGTTCACAGTTGTAGGCCAGTACTTTATAAAAAGTCACGAATATTTTTGATTAATGTAGAAGTATTTACGTGCGTATTTACATGAACAAATTATCCATTTTAATATGGTTTGGAAAAACCGTGTGATAGTTCGTGTTTACGCACAACTACAGCATACACGTCATGTATGTTTGCCTGTATTGACGGATGAGATCAGTTCTCATTTAACTCTTTCCCACGAGGAAGGACTCACAACTATGCTAATATGAGATATAATTGTTTGTTCACACGTCTGTCCATTATAGAAGGGTGCTCACACCTATAGTTGTTTTTTCTTCTATACGGACAAGACAACATATATATGAAAAATAATGTCATTTAACGTATTAAGGACAACGTTACCTCGATAGCAGAGAAAGCAGGGCGCATAGACATGTAAGAATGTTTACAACATAAATGTGGCAGTGGGTCTATGCTAATTTCAATACATTATATTAAAGGTAACCTGTGAGGGAACATATACGTTAATGCATCTGTGATATATCTGCACGTGAGCGAAATGTTGGCAATGCCTTATAAACATGTCCCAAATAACAGACAGATTGTAGAAATAAGTAATTTTGAAACATGCGTTTAATATTAATTGAAAATTCGTGTCATTTTTTTAAACGTAAACTTTGCCCATTATAAAAGTTTTTTTGTTAGCAATAAGTATTTCGGAAATTCTTGTCCCGTTTTTCCCATTTGTTATTCTGTGTCTAGTAAAGTATACTTGTCTATATTTATCCGATCGATGATGATTCAACTCGTCACATAGTCTCGTCACAAACTAGTAAATGGTGACGGAATATCCTCAAGTAACTTCTGTTGAGTATATTTTGAGTATTATTATAATGACACAAAGCATTTGATTCATGCTCATCTGACAACTGAAATAGACGATATAACTTACAGCAACTCTACTCCTGGATTCTTGCGATAAACGTCACAAACGTTAATGATGTAAAATACATTTATATAAAAGCAAATGGCACATTTTATAGATTATTGCTAATGGTAAAAGTGTACGAATAATAATTACATCGGAGCCTTATCTTTGTTTGGTATCAACTATCACCATCGTTTTTTTTTCTTCCAACATGATTAGTTAAAATACACGATAAAAAAACACCCGTTGAAGGTAATTCTCAAGAGACCGACATCGCCTTAGTTGTCATGGTGATTAAGGTATCTAGTTTAGATAACAATTTCGAAACTTTATAAAATTCAACCATCGTAATGTGGTATTTGTTATTTTATCTGATTTCTAAAGGAGATTAAAATACATCTATATACATATGTATGTTGGAACACAGGTGACTGAAGTTAGTATATAGTGATTTACGTGTTATTTCAAACAACTTTTCTACGACTTTAAAAGTGTGTACGAATACAGATGTTGAGTCCATCGTAAACATTGTGAATGCTGCCGTCACATTTCCTGTACTAAATACATCAACGCAATTCGACATTGGTTTGACCGTGAACGTACTAACATGGTTTGACCTAAAAAAGTCAGGGCTGTCACCTGAAGGCTATTGTAAACTCAATGTGATCCCAAATACCGCTGGTTGTCGTTGAGGAAAAGCAAGACACTAAATGATCCCAAATACCGCTGGTTGTCGTTGAGGAAAAGCAAGACACTAAATGATCCCAAATACCGCTGGTTGTCGTTGAGGAAAAGCAAGACACTAAATGATCCCAAATACCGCTGGTTGTCGTTGAGGAAAAGCAAGACACTAAATGATCCCAAATACCGCTGGTTGTCGTTGAGGAAAAGCAAGACACTAAATGATCCCAAATACCGCTGGTTGTCGTTGAGGATAAGCAAGACACTAAATGATCCCAAATACCGCTGGTTGTCGTTGAGGAAAAGCAAGACACTAAATGATCCCAAATACCGCTGGTTGTCGTTGAGGAAAAGCAAGACATTAAATGATCCCAAATACCGCTGGTTGTCGTTGAGGAAAAGCAAGACACTAAATGAGGTCATTATACGTAGCTATAATAGAAATACATTACCACACATGTGGTACTTACCATAGTAGTTTCCTGTACAGAGTCCATACTTGAAACAAACATATCCGTTATTACCTCCACAGGGGGTCCTACGGATACAAACAATATGAAGCTTAATACATTATTAATGCACCTGTGTCCATTTTATTTGGTTTTTTTCCATTGTAACCCCCACACGCTCCAGTCATATGCATTCTAGTAACCGCCTAACAAATAAAATTTTCGTTTATTGGCATTATGTTGACAACTCGTGACTATAAGCAATTTATAGTCTGTGATTGAACTTGACATTGCCATCACATTGTTATCATGCATGTCATTTACAACGTGTAATCGACAGATCTAATTTGCATAATGCAAAGAACAGAACGATAACTCCTGATAAGAAAGTATTCTGGCACACACATTAGACACCGATAGTCACTTAGACCAATCCCATAATTTCAAGTTCTGCTATTTTATTTTCATACTTTCACAAGTTTACGACAATATCCGACCAAATGACACAAATGAAATGCATGAGTGTTTGAATTGGCAGTTCTCACGACGCTCTGTGCTTAGATTACTCCACCACAAAGAAAACATTATTGAAACAAAGACGCAACCATCAGCGACTTGACAACTGCTTATCAATTTTGACAGATGGAGCGAGCAAAAAAAATACAACACTGCAAGAAATATAATTGCACGGAACATGACATTTCCATTTGGACCTGGAAAATAATGTCATGGTTCAGTAATTACCCAATCACATGGGGATTTTACTTTGATCAAGGATGATTTTTGTGAACACACAGATTGAATTTCAAAGGTGAAACGTCGGGTGTAAAGACAGAGGTATTTTTTTCTGAGAGTCAGAATTACTGTAACGCGGTTTGCACATTATAGTCTAAATATAATGAATGTTGTTGAATACATAGAAACAACGTCAGGTAGTGTAATGCGAAATCAATCGAGTAACACGTGACAACTAAGATGAAGTAAACATATAATATCGAAAACAAACACAGATACAAAAGGTAACATGTTAAGGTAACTACATGTTAGGAAACTAAATTGTCAGTCAAATTAGCATTATGCTGTAGATAATATTAATAAAGTTCAAATTTATGACCGAACACATCTCAGTTATGAAACCTGTTTGTCATAAAAGTAACACCAACTATACTATTCGTAAATACAATTATTACGAAGTAAAAACTAAAATGATATATGACTCAATAGTATCCTCGCATCAAATTATTACCCGTATAATCAATTACATAATCTGTGCGCATTTCTACGTAGTTTTGACACGTCATTAAGCTTTGAAATATCATCCAAGATAATATCGATTACACTAACATGATAATAACGTGTTACATTTATGAAATTGATCAATAATGTAGCAAACAATCTATCAATGTGTGTTCTTCCACGAAACAAAATGCCAATTTAAATACATTAATTTGGATTTGAATGTATCACCCTGTATACTCTACTATTACGTAAAATCACACGGGGTTTTCTCCATCCCACGCAAGTCTAATGTTTTAGTGGCATAATGCGATTACATTAGCATAACGACACCTTGAAGTAAATACCGCCATTGTTCGACACCATTGTTCATCTATCCCACTTACCGAAATATATGAACATTAGTGTTATCGTGGTAGCAGGTTTACTTAATATTCATTTATTTATAGACCAACAGGCCAAGAATATAGAGATCTGTGGAATGACTTCACTGCAATTCGCTACCCGTTGCGACAGGGATGGTGTGACTGTGTTCGTGCATTGAGGATAGAAACACCAGCCGGGACAACCAGACCCACAATCTCTCTGATGCTTGGCGAACACGTTAAGGGCTGCTTATGCGAATTTGTGTTGATAAACATTGATTTTCCAATAATCCAATACGTTGTTTTAATGAGAATTACAAGTATGACCTGGGCGCGACTTGCACTAATTACTGACGGTGACTCCTTCGATACCTTCCAATCACCTAAAAATACCAAGTTAAAGCTTGGTAATGTCTCAGTTTGTACTCGTTGATGTGCCCAACAGCCGAGGAGTTAGCATAATAATTTATCGGCGATATTTATTCACACTATTCTTATTGTGATATCGTGATAATTGGCTTAAATCATATTTTGTTTCTAAAACAGAGAAACGTGTCAAAAGTGTTGACAAAAGGAGCGGGAGTATATAAGTGATGACGTAATACATGTGGTACACATATCTAGCAGAGTTCTATAAGTATCACATTAGTCTCGCATGAATACTTTGTTTTGTGTAATATAGGCCAAGTGTCTGACGTCACAATGTTTCTAAAGAATTGGAGTGCCTCGGTGTGATCTTAATCGATTGCCGGAAGTGAAATATAAATGCAATGTTGTTTGATTTCAAACCGTTTTCCCGTGGGAGTACACGTTTCAAATTTCACACTAATTGAACACTGTTGACGCTATGTCTGTAAAAACAACAACAACTACAGGACGTCCTATTTTATATTGATTTTAGATGCGTGGAGAAAAGCATACAATGGAAGTATATTCATATACGTCGGCACACTTTGTAATTTCACAGAACACATAAAACCATTGAGGACACTATATATCTAAACAAATGGAATATTCGTATTTTGCATAGTTTCTTTGCGTAATCGTGTCGTGACATGTACCGGGTAATGTTATTTTAATAATATTAATTACTTATAAATTATGTGTTACCTATGTGGTAAATTAACATATTTATCTTGTGTTTGGTTGGTTGGTTGGTTAGCGTATTTTGTTCAGGAAATATATAATATTGTCATGGTTTTGATGGATTACTCATATTATATTATTAGTAGCAAAATATTGTTAGAACTAGAAGTTTAGAAAAAAAAAGTACAATTATCAGAACAGTTATTACACAATAATAAAGTAATAATGCCGAATTTGAGAAATGCAGCTGATAAATTCACTAAAATACTAAAAAATCTATAACATGAAAAACATTTTGCAGTTGCAGTTCAATCCAAATAATAAAGAATACTTCCAAAAAAGTCCATTATAATATTTCTTCTAAAATTTGTTGTGTTTACCCGTATATAATATCAGAATAAAAATGCAATAAATGAAAAATTAATGGCTGGCACCCCCTATGAAGGCTGCTTGCTGCCTTTGAATAAACCGTATTTGTGGATGTGTCGTGTAAACTTTATTGCGTGATGTAATTATTTTAGTTGTACATTATCTTATATTACACGATGCAATACATTCCATTGTATTACGTAATGTAATAGGTTGTACTATATTACGTAATGTACCATGTTGTAGTAAATAGTACACTATTTACGTGATGTAATATGTTATACTATATTACGTGATGTAATGGGTTGTACTATATTACGTGAGGTAATAATTTATAGTGTAATACCATCCTAGCCTGCCATGGTGTTTTCCGCTGCATCTCAGCCAAACTAAAAATACAGCAACAATGTCTAAATTTGGAAGCTATGATTCGCATATTCATGAGTGAACGTCGTGGAAACATATGACCAATCCGCGTTGGTTTTATAACGAGAGCACTTCTACAAAATTGTTTGGTCCCCTGTAATGAAGACACGCGGCGGTTGATTGGTGCTTAGCAAGCTAGTGAATACTGCAATGTAGGTGTATTTTACTACGGCTTTCTTGTGTAACCATCATGTGCCCCAGGGAGATCGGCGTTTTACGACGTTGTATACTGCGTGATTTTATACATTATATTTTATTGCGTACGATGCAACTTGTGTGCCAACGTTTTTTGCCATGGTTTGTTTATTGGTTGTCGCATTCAGTGACAAATCATATAAAAAGAACAACACAGCACGACATCATATGATTTAATGTTAGTTGTGTCGATGCTCTTACAGAAACACAACAAATGACGTTTATCAAACATTTGCATTCAGAACCATATGTACAATTATATTTCCAATTACTACTAGAAGGGCTTCCTCATCTTAGCTGGGGTCGCATGTCAGTGTGCTCCTTTAAATTACCATTCCCTTTCTATCACACGATGTACGTAACATAATTTGTAGCTTCACTAAATTATGCACACCAGCATCTCTGACATTCGTATAGCTACTCCCATGAGGTTGAATCGAACCGAAATCTATTCTCTCTCCCAGGACAGATCAAATTTGCGATATCGTCTCTGAATACTGAATACGAAGACGGACATAGGCACACTGTCACGTGTCATTACTGGATTACTATTTCAAGATGGATGCATGACTATGTGACTCAAATACATGCCGAAATTGCGTTAAAACATAAAACCATTCTAATACATATGATCTTGTCTTGTAGCTGGTATACTTTTTTGTCATAAAAGATGCCTCTTTAATATATTATTATAGCTCATGACCTTAATTTGACCCCCATTTGAAAACTTTCGTTCGAGATTTACGTCTTTAATTTGTCAAGCGGACAAGATATTTATTGAAGGACTAGTTTGCCACGATTGATGTCATCATTAAACTACCTTATTGGGGAGGGGGTATGATTGTGTAACGATTTCGCTTGATTTTTTATCGAGCTTGGTGCGAGTTCGCCTGCGCACCCGGACTGCGCACGTTGATGGATTTTATCTACGCTTGCGCAATTCGTCTCTCGAATCATTACTTTTTGCTGCTGCATAGCACTGTTGTGTATTTTGACGGTATATCGAAATATAATGTATTTTGTATTTTCTGAAAGGGAATAGTGTCGACAAAAGACTAAAATCAAGCTGTTTGCAGCTCAGTTCAGTGTTCTGATGTGAACCGAATTGGCGTATTACAGACTGCCCCTGGAGAAGCGCAAAGGCTGCCGGGTAAGTTTGCAAAAGTAGATATATGGTAAGCCTAAACTAATTGCTGATATTAAAGGTTTATATGACCATGCAAGTAAATGCGCTCAAGATCCCAATACATGTCAATCACTACCCTTGAACTCTTTCAACAAGATTTGTGTACAAACATGCATTCTGCAATGGAGTGTGTGAGTTTCTGATTTCACATTTATCGCTGTACTAATAATACATACGCTCTCCCTATAACTGCGGTGGACAAACAGTTTTAGTGACCCTCTGTGCT